ATAAATGATTCTGCAGAATACGAGCATCTCATCTGCGTCTTTTCCACGTTCTTCTCTGGTTTACTGGGATCCGACCACTGTAGATTGCAATTATCAATAAAAACTCCACTTTAGGATAGCTAGAAGGATTAGGTAACCTTTGCAGTTTTCCTATGAGCTGTTCGCAGTGGGAAATAGAGGATTATCTTGAATGCTTTGTTGCAAAGTATTTGTCAAAGAATCTTCTAGATGATGAAATTACAGCTCATTATATTTCTGCGATTGGACTGAAAGTGCACAGTCTACTGAGAACCTTTGCATTTCTATATAATTGTATTTTCCTGCCATACAGTAAAATCTCAGGACTTCCAATTGCTTATTTTCGTATCAATACCTTCGAAGTACAACAGTGAGACAGTTGTTCAATGAACTTATTTCTGCTCCAGATCTAAAGTTTCTAGATTTCATTCTTCAGCTGCAGATTTAAGCTTCAAACTGTAAGTTGAGAGTAAAGTTTTACACCCAATTATCTGATTGTCTGGTTGCTAGCCATACTATTCCGGAGAGAGGAGAAACTGGTTTAAAAATTAATTCATGAAACTTTCAGATCACTAGAGAATTATGTAATACATATGATGATGCTGATACTGAACACCAAGTTTCCTCTCCAGCCCAACCAATGTAATGATATCCAAAGTTCATTATAAAGGAGTTCATCATAAGAAGCGTTCTGAAATGTCATCTATCTATGATCGACTCTGGACAAAGAGCAGTAATATCAAATCATTTTTTTCGATGGTGAATGATCGAAGCCTGTGGACACTTAAACCTGTGTGTGTGTGTGAAGTTCGGAAGCATCAAAATTAACATACAGTCTGTCGGACATATTCAGTCAGTTGAATGGTATGGCTGACTATGGAGCGATAATGTTATCGCCTTTTGATTAGTGATAGGGCAGTAAGCTTCCATCGTTAACTGGACAAACAGGAAAACTCAGGAGTGGTGGAGTAGTAATCTGCCTCAAGACAAACCTAGCTGTATGAAGCAAAGAAGACATAGCAGAAGGAAGCGTATCATACAAATCTACAAGCTATGGCCTGATATACAAGAGACAAGGCATCCATTTGATCGTGGCTTATCGTAGTCCAGACCGAAACTCAGACAACTTCCACATTTGGAATACAAACACTTGGACAACAAATATCCGTGCGTAGTAGTCAAATATTTCAACGCCCATTTAGTTGATAGAAAAAACTAACAATAACACTACCACACAATATTTTTTACCATAAGACTGTGGAATCTTTCACATCATTGACCCCAGTGTATAATGTCATAAGACCCAGACGTTGTGATTCCCTTCATTCTTCCTCAACGTTCAAATTGTTTTTCTTCTTACATGCCGATGTGACAACGCCGTGCTCACATTTATAAGTTCACTGATGTATTGTTTTGTGACAAAACCCCTATTAGATCAAATGTGTGGAAAGAGGACGTATGCGCCATTACCTGTACAGTCTCATCAGAGACAAAACCATAAATCTGGATGCCCATATGGAAGTTAAATGAGATCATTCACTGCATCAACAGAGTAACCCAATCCTGCATGCCTAATGCTGACTCGAAGAGACAAATATGAGTACACATCAGAACGATATGAAGACGGGCAAAATTAATGAATCCAATAATTACTTTTTGTCAACTCCAATATTTTTATTATTCCTGTGTGTTTGGCGTGAATGTCTTTAAGTGATATCGGCTTTGTAGTTATACAATGTTGTATTCAGACTACTCTGGCTTGATACATTTCTATGGGATCGGAAATATACGCCTCTTTATCCAAGCTTTGTCTTCTCACTCAGTTGAACTGTCTACTTGTCCTTTCAATTATCATGATTTACTCTCTTTGAATTTACATGGACTGTCATCTTCGTTTAAGGAATATCTGATAGCTACAAATATTCTCTATTACTGTTGTCTTCTGTTGATATTCACAAAACCATCACATTCCAGTCTGTAATCACACAATATACAAGAAATCAAAGGGAACCATGGAATTTTATCAAACGCTTTTCAACGACCTGGCAGCTGGTTTACCGACTTCCTCCTTCAGATCATCCCCGTCACAACAAGTCTTACTGAATGAATGCATTCTTACTCTAGAAACTCCAATCCTCACATTACGATCAGGACTCTGTTCTTCAGACAACAGTCTTATCAATAATTTAATTCAGACACTGGGAGGAATAATCAAGAAAGCGGTATGGCTGTTATCTGGAAAACAGCAGCTTGCTATGGAACACACCTTTTCGCCTCCCCTGGCAAGGTAGGACCTGGTCATGGAGAATGACTTTATGAACCTGTCCGTGTTTTCAGTAAGTGAGGAAGAGCAAGAATCTACTTGAAACATTTCTCTTAAATTATCCAGCCACAAGTTAAGCTACACGGATCACCAGTGTTGACTGCGTACACCGACGTATTAATTAGGCTCACCAAACATCCATGGTTGCATAAGTAAATGACGCAGAGGTTTGCAGAGAGGTGAAGGAGCAAAACGCCACACACAGACAAATCTGAAACATCTGCTGACTTCTTCCCTAGAATGAATACTTCTAATTAATGCAGTGAATTGTATGTGGTTTCGCCCTTACCACCATGTTCAGAATTTTATGAAGTGATTATGCACCTGATGAAAGTACTGTTGATTAAAGAAAAGCTACCGAAACAGTGTGTGCAGAAAACAGTAGACTCCAACCTCTGTCCACGATAGGCTACTTGAATGATTAAAGTATGATTAGTTAATTATACACACTTTTAAGTGTTATATAACTGATTAATTGTCAAATCAGCCGGTTGTAAAGCAATCACGAAGTGATATCATCTCACAGTGTTTGCCTTCTCATTATCATATGTAAATTTATCCAAGGGATTATTTCGAAATCCTGAAATATTGCTCATAAGCGCCTCATATTCCTTTGTAAAGAATGAAGAATGACAGTTAGGTATTGACGTGCTGGGGAAATAAACCAAGGATTCGAGTTACGCCTAAAACGCAGAACACAGGATTTGTGTAAAACACGGTAATATATATACATAGGGAAAATAATTAAGAATTAAAAAAGTCAAATTATGAAGCATCTTAGCTGAATGATGTTGAAGATTGCAGCCACCGTTTGCCAGTACAGTGACAATAAGGCTCTTCGAAAAGTGATCTGCGGTCAGAAAGTATAAAATGCGAGATTGCATACAGCAGGCGAAAATCTGTTCGACTAAAGACAGTTCAAGAGTGAGTGAAATGTGTGCACGAAGAACAGTCCAATCACAAGGCGTCAACTGCCACAGACAAAATACAGTGTCTACTTTGAAATAAGGAGTTCTGTAGTAGTCAAAATATAAATAAAACTATGTTAATTATGCTAATTAGTACTATGAAGCTGTTCACAAAGAAAAGGGACGAGAAATAATGCGGGTTTTGAACACACGAATTGACAGTAATGTTGTGATCTGAGTGATTCAGTTTCCAAAGGAGACTGTAACGAAAATCTCATGTCTTGAACTGTGCACACTTCAAATTACTAACTAATTTTCAATGCAACTACAAGCGTCATTTAAATTCTATTCGCGCTAATTCTGTTCATTCCATTTTAGTTAAAGAAAACAGACAAATGTACATTGTTTCAAGTATTGAACTGACACCTAACTTTTAGACTCAGATCACTGACTAACCTGTAATCCTGAATTCAACGGTCAGATAAAGAACTGTTATTTAAAATATGTGTTAGCATGAGATGTGCATCGGTCGTTCAGTGGTAGATTGTTCGCCAACCACACACATGATCAGACGGACGTACTCCTATGCCTCACTTAGTCAGCAGTAAGCAAGCCTGATGAGAAAGTAAGGTTGTGAGTGAGGCTATGACAGTCACAGAAAGAAAATAAAACCACTGCTGAAAATTCAAACCTCAAGTTTAAACCCATATACTCTACTCGGAACACAAATGCATGAGAAGAAAAAAGAAAATAAATCAACATGCACCGAAAAGCAAGACATGTGAGCAGCACCATGCATTGAGTGCAGATGTTTGATTTACAGTGATTTCGTCAGCTAAATCGGTTAACTATTTTTCAATAATAAACCTATAATGAGTGGGTCTTAACTGATGCGAAATCTCAAGGAAAGCATTCTCATTCATCCTGTCACTTATAATTATTATTGGTGATGTTGTTGTCATCAAAGCTGTGCAACAGTCTTAACTAATCAACAGTTAAATCTATCAGCAGATTTCAATACTGTCGA